GCCTTGGGGAGGTTCTCACCTTGGCAGGGTACGAATCCTCTATACGTACCCTTGTGCGGAGCCGCCTGCCGAAAGCGAAGTAGGTAAGCTGCCCGCGCCTTCCCCCGACTTGTGGCGTTATTTTGTGATGAGACAGCTGTCACACGGGACGGGGCGCTTTTTTTTTTGTTTCTTTCCCTGTCTCTCGGGTGTTTCTGAATGAAAATGCTGTGTGCTCGTAACTGGGGGGACCATGGATAGGAGAGTGGTGGTGGGCAGGGAAGGGGCAGGTGAGAGGCGTTTGTGTCTCACTCGCTGTGAGTCCAAGCATGTTTCAGCTCTACTTGGCAAGTGGGGTGAGTGTGGTGCTTCTTAAGGGGTGCTGACAGTAAAATGTAATCTGTCTTTCGACAAACGTTTTGCTGTTTGCTTCAAAAGTGTGTATCTGTTGACAAGCCCTGAGACGAGCCTAACTGAAAATGAAGAGGAGGTATGCTTTCAGTTTGATTTTGTGGCTTGGTATTTTGTGTTGTTGGCAACTGTTGCTTCGGTTGGTCTTATGTGAACACCTGCACTGAGAAATTTGGATGTAGCTTTAAGTGTTACTGCTGTGAGCCCTGCCAGTGGTGTGCTCAGGGCAGGCCTCACCTTCACTGGACTCCCCATACACGTGGCTTCCCTGATTCTTGGCTGCCCAGGTGCTTTCTTGTAATGACAGAAAAGGAAAAAAAAAAACTGAGAAAGGAAATGTGATCTTAAAAATAAACCTGCTCAGAGACAGTTAAGATCTGATATTTCTTATGGCACTATCTAGATTTCAAGCTAGGGGTGGCCCACTTTTTGGGTTAATTGCTGTTACAGTATTATACTCTATCTGCTTTCTTAGCTCACTAAAGAGAAGATTAAAAATTGTGGTTAGCTTGCAAGAATAGGGACTGCAGTAGTCACTTCTTTCCACTTAATTTTATCATTGTAGCTCTCTAAAGTAGCTTCCTCTTTGACTTACTGTAAAAACTTCGACATGAAAATGCATGTGGTAAATTCTTGTCTGAGCTGAGGATGAGGTTGCTAGAGCTGCCACAAATTGTAACTCTCCCTGCCCTGGATCCACTTTCAGCCTCCCAAATGAAATAATGTGTCATCCTTGGAATGTTTCTACATTGCATTAGAGTAGGAAATGAGGTCATGTTGTGGGACATAATTTATGAACAATATGCACAGCCTTGCCAGTGTCACCAGAATTATCCCGAAAGTGATTATCAGCTGAAAGCTTGAGAGTGAGAGACTAGAGAGAAGATGTACATTGAGGTATCTCTTCTGTTCTCTCATACCGTCTTTGACTTTCACTAAAAAAGAAGATGAAAGGGGTTTTCCTGCTGGAAAAGGAGTCAACTTCCCTATTTCGGTACTCGGAGAGGAACCTGACATTGCCTAACTCACAGCTGGAGAATTGAGTTTCTGGTCTGGTGAATTTTAACAGTTTACAAATATTGACAGCCTACTAGAGAAGTGAGCAAGTACCAGTACTTCAGTTTGTTTCAAGGGAATTGTAAATTGCACTTGTTCCTTGCTCTCTCTCTGTTGTTGGTCTTCATATCAGGCTTCCTCTCGTGCTGGCTGTATGAATGCAAGCTGACAGTCTGGCTGCAAGCAGGTATGCTTAGCACAGTCAACAGCAGATAAGACAGCATTATTCTTAAAAGCTTTGTCTTTATTGGCCCGCAGTTCCCAACAATGCAGCTGTGGCTCAGTTTTCAAGGATTCAAATCTGTCCTCAATTTCTGAAAGGATAACCACAAATCATATGTCCTATGGAGTCAAAGCTAAGTGCTTTCCTTTGGGACTGTGTTATATTCCCTTATTTTAGTGTCATTTGACTAGTTAATTTGTTATATCTGCTGTAAGAACAGATTAGTTTCTGTGTAGAGTTGAAGATATTTTCACTCATGTGAGATGCTAGTTTGAGTTAAGCCCCAGGTGTGATAAGGCTGTATGTTAAATCTGCGATTAGTAATTACATAATCTCACAAGAGTTATGTAAATGCATGTATCCTATAGAGCAAAGGGGGCTGAGAGATGCATTCACTGTGCATCTTGCGTTTCTGGAAAATACCAACAGTTAATCAGTCTTAAATGTGAATGTTTTGGGATGTGCCTGTCTCTGGAGCTGAAGAGATGATTCCCCTTCAAAGCCCTCTGAGGGGTGCCAGTAGCAACTTTTACTGTGATGCAGTTTCTCTCTTTGAAACTCATGTGGTTCTCCAAAAATTGGGCCTGACTGACTCTACAGGATTCCTTGTAACGAAGTTCAAGGTGAAGATAGCCTGAAGGAAGGCCACAGGAATATTTGTGTCACTTTTGTAAAAGATGGTTGTAGCATGTGTGGGTGTATATCCATGTCAGTTTTGATGTAGTGAGGAAGATACAGGATTTAGCATGTGCTACTGACTAACTAGAGAGTTAGTCTTCTGCATGTTTATTTAAGTCCTGAATTATAAAATGGGGACAAGGGCACTTCTCTATTTTACAGCGGTTTTATGAGGAGAAATAATAATTTTAATACAGAGGGAAGAGAGGAGTTTAATTAATTTAGGCACAATTTTTGTTTAAAAGTATGAGCTTGTGAAGCTATATTGATACCCTTGCCTATGAAGGCTTAGTCTGTGCAAGCAAAAGGCCTGGATAGCTCACACCACTTTTCAGGGGAGAGAGAAGGGAGATGTGGTGGTAGAAGTCTTTCCCACTATGTCACTGTATCTAGACTGTGGCATTTGTGAGAATATCAGAAAATAAATTTTGTCATTAATATTGACATGGTGGTAAAAGATACAGCATTGGATAGGAAGGCACAGGTGATGAGAAGGAATGGTAGGATTTAGGGATAGATACAGTCAGGATACACTTACACTACAGATCAAATGTTGCATTTGGTTAAAAAAGCTTCATGTTTATCTTATTGCTGGAAAAAGAAATCTCAACAGAGCAGAGAGTAGGTTGAACATGCGTCATTACCAGGAGCCTTACCTCTATGCAGTGCTGCAAGCTTGAAGAATTTGAGGTGGGGCTGTGCCAAAAACTTGCTTTTCACCTTGCAGCTAGTGTAAAATACGGCTGCCATCTTTCAAAAATTCAGTGTTAGAAATCTCTCTCTGATCCTCTTTTGGAGATTTCGCAAATCTCAACAACTTCCTTAAGTTCTGCTAGTAGAAGAAATAGTTTGTTGTCTGCTTCATTTATTGCAAGTTTTTCCATTGTTCTATAGTGAATAATGCTTTGAGCTCCAGGTTCAAATACATCTAGGTGAACATATCTTCTATAGCATAAGAAAAATACAACCTTTAAAATAAGCCCTACTTGGAGTGAGACTCATTTTCCTTGGGAGAAGAGGTAGCCAGGGCTACTGGACAGATTTAGATGATGCAGCTGCTCAGTCAAGATAAATTACGACAGCATTGTAGGATTGCTTACTAAAAGCCTCAGGCATAAATAAAAGTCATAAGTCAAAGAGTTTATGCTACATGTGAATATGTGCGTGCTGGATGCCAGGGTGTGACATAGAGGATACAAGATCTCACCTTTGCTCTGACTTGATTTACTTGCTTATTTACCTGGCTGTTATGAGTTCTCTGTTCCCTGAGGATAGGATACGAAGGAGCTGGGAAGACTCTTAAACCAGTTGTTAATTTGCACAGGTGTAGCCATTGTGCTGTACAAAGCACTGGTTTGGGAATTGGGAATCTCATCTTTGCCACTGATAAGTTAAATGGTTTATGGCAAGTCAGCCTGCTTTTGCTTTAGTTTATACCTCTACAAAATGGGGTAAGTTATCTTGACTTCTTTTCCAGAATACTTTAGGATTTAGTCATGTCAAACTTTGGAATGTAGTGTTTCAGAGCTGCGTCACCAAACCCATATCTGTTTCTGGCAAGACCTTGCTCTGAATATTGGTGTTTGATAGCCTCTCTCTTCACCTGATTTGCGGAATTTATATGTCTACTTGCTATAGAACCTGCTGTGTTATTGTCAGCCCTTTCAAGGGGGATTGCTGGTAACAAGTGAAGATCAGGAATCACACGTATCTGATGTGCATAAAGTCAGTGTGTGCTTAAATATCTGTTATGGGCCTAAAGAATTGTATGTATGGGTAAGCAATAGTGTAATGGATTAGATCGTTGGCCACTGTGTCACTTGGGGATTGCTTGCTAATTGGAAAGTGTATCATTAGCACACAATACTGAAACATTGGGAAAGGTCAAAGTTGCACAAAGTAAGGTACAAACTTGAAGGATGATAGTATGATTTGATCTCTAAATCTTTCTCGAAGGTAGTGAGGGCCTTGCCAAATGTTTTTGTGCCAGGGTGGAGAAGCTACAATTCTTGGTTGGATTTATCTTCCTTGCCTGGTGCTCCTGTTCTTGTAAGGGCTATTCCTTTTGTTATTCCATGATAGACTAAGAGGGCATAAATTTAGACTGTAAAATAATATGAAAGCAAGGTTTTTTTGATGTGTGGAGAATGAGTCTGTAGAAGGATGTACAAAAAAAGAACTAATACTAATAGACTATGAAGATTTTCAACAGAGTTATAGGTGAATATGAGTTCAGTAAATTTGCATTTCCCTTAAATTAGAGGATTTTGTAACCTTTGTTACTCACCTCTAGCAAAATGGAGCTACTGAAGGAGCATCTTTTGGGGAGAATAGGAGAACAGTTTTGGTCTCGTTGGATTTGAATTGGTATTCACAGGATATTCACAAAAGAGCCTGTGGAGACAGGCTGAAATGATAGTTTTAACAGAAGAAGGTAGGTCTGGATTAGAATGAGATATCTATTTATAATTGAATAAGTGCTTATAAAAATATACAGGCAGAGGATTTAGGAGACAGAAGAGGAACAAGGAAGGAGCCTTATCGGCACCCACAGAAATTTAGAGAGATCCTCCCATGTAAATGTTATATGAGCTAGTAGAGATGGGAGGAGAATTAGGAGGAGCTGTAATTACAGAAGATATGGGAAGGGCAAAATTTTAAGAAGAGGATGATTATGATAAAGGTGTACTATGTCACAAAGGATGAAAATGGAACACCAATTCTGAGAGTTTAAGAAGATTTTGGCCTCTCAGGATTTTGGTAAGAGCTGTTTCAGGGGCAGAACCTGGATTAAATAGGATCTGAAGATGGAGGTGAAAGAGGACTCCCGATCATGCGTAAAGCTGAGTGTGTGGAAGCAGAGGTGAACAGCAGTAGTTAAAGGGAGGTAGAGGATGGAATTTTAATATTGGGAGTTTAAAGTGGCTTTTATTGTGAAGGAAAAAGAACCAAGTAGCACATGATTTAGGGAGGACCTGAGATAAGATGTCCTGGGGCATACTTTTGTCAACAGTTTGACAGTTGAAAGCAGAGTATGCGTGGAACGATTTTTCACCATTCTTCTTTCTCAGAGCTGTTTCTCTGTAGCTACTTATTTGTCTCATTATTTATTTGTAATGCACTTGTGAGTGTTGGCAAGCCTGATACCATAAATATTTACAAACACAGTTTTGGAAGTTAATAAATAAATACTTTTGTTTCTTTTACAGATGAGATCATTTCAAGCTCTTTTTTTGGAAGTGGTGGTCAAAGGAAATGGATAACTATCCAGACTTCAATACATACAACCTCTCATCTTCAGCTAATATGTCTATTTCTTTGCCTGGAGAAGCTGGACTCAATACCACTGGTGGTACTCCTTCTATGTCAATAAGCAGGCTTTTCCCAGCCTTGTTAGAATGCTTTGGAATAATTCTTTGTGGCTACATAGCTGGAAGAGCCAACATTATCACAACAACTCAGGCCAAAGGACTGGGAAATTTTGTGTCCCGTTTTGCACTCCCAGCTCTACTGTTCAAAAACATGGTGGTACTTAACTTTTCAAATGTGAATTGGTCCTTCCTGTACAGTATTTTAGTTGCCAAAGCTGCTGTGTTTTTCTTAGTCTGCATTTTAACATTGTTGGTAGCCAGTCCTGAGAACAGATTTAGCAAAGCAGGTTTGTTCCCTATTTTTGCTACACAAAGCAATGATTTTGCACTGGGATATCCAATAGGTAAGTAGTTCCTTATGCTTTCTTCTTTAAAACTATTTTTCAGTGTTCCAGATGTGTTTGCTTTTATTTTTCCATAATTTGAAATTGACTTCCAAACTGAAGTTATGAGCTACCTCAGCCATTTCTCAAGTCACGTTTCTTGACCTCAGACTATACAAGGGAAGAAAACTGTCAGCTAGTGTGAATAAGACAATTTAAAACAGTCCAACTACAGTTGTCTTGTCATGTTAAAGTAAATCAGATGAAAAAGGAAAAAAAAAAAGTAAATATAATTTCAAAATTGATATAAATTACCTCACACTTACTGCAGGTTAAGAATGCCTTTATGGGAGATTGCTGGAGTTTCCATCAAGACCAAAACTTTTTTGCTTTGCCAAGTATGTACCTATGGCCTCCAAAATAGCTGCAGTTAATTTCTTACTAATTTGGTATTATCTCTTGGTTTAGCTAAAGAAAACATCTAGCCATAAAGTTGGTACCTACTGGTTATGGGGTGTGTTACCGACTTTAAACTTGTTCAGAAGAAGCTTCTAATTCTTGTGCTGCTTAACATAATTTATGTAGCAAATTGTGTTCTATCCCTTAATCTGTAGTTCAATTTGGCCAGTAGGCATGCTTTAGGATATAGTCTTGGAAGAAGTCTGTCTTTTAAAAACAAGATTGCTGGGAGATTTGTGGTAACTTGCATTTGTGTATCTCAAATTGGAATTTTGTGCGGCCGCAGTGCCATTCTTGGGATGTGTAACTAACCACTAGTCCAGTAGAGCTAAAAACCAAACAAACAAAAAAACAAAGAGGCATTCTAAGTATAACTTGTCTAGCTGTGTACTCTTGTTCTTGTAAGCCTACATTCTGAATTCAAAGCAATATCAGTTCTTAAACTTAAATTTATCCCAATCTGCAAGAGGATTATTTTTGTTCCTTTTGTTTGAGGAAGATTCTTTTCCCCTTTTTATTGGTTTTCTTAATGGTATGTTAATACGCTTTTAGATGTACATACTATGATACTTAAGAAATGATCTGGAGTTGTAGCAGGCTTCTCCCTCCTGCCACTACCTGAATTGCAGTGCTTTTTACCTGCCTGGGAGGCTCTTTTGTGCTAATGTAGCTTTCAGTGCTGCCTCTCCGCAGACTGACCCACGCAGCTGGTGTGGGAATGCACGCTGCAGGCATCAGGATCTTCAAAATACACCTCGAGTGAAAGGCATTTGGAGAGGGTGCCTGGACTATGTTTTATTTGTTTGCTACTCCCTGGAGAGAAAGTACTCTATGCCTCTTAAATTCTCTTGAGATCACACTTATCATCCAGAAAAGGTTAAGAACAAGAAAAGAAAGCAAGTTTGTTTTAGCAAAGCAAAAAGCAAGATACTTGATTACCAAATTGAAAATACAGTTACAAAAGAGAAGGTTAAACATGCAGTTCCAGATTATATGTAACAACAAGTAGCTCCATATTTTAGATTACTTGAGGAACTGGCAGCTTTATTCTCCCTATTCCAGGGCAGCACACTGAGGATAATCCTGAGTCTTTCTTACTCTCTTCAAATTTGATGGATGTGTATAAAGTATAGACAAATGTAACTGCAAACTGTTGGATGATGGCTCAGTTATCATTACTTTAATGGTGCTAACTGTATTAACCATGAACAACTAGCATGTGATTCATATGTAATTTTGAGCAGCTATGATTTGGAAAATCTTTTTTAAAGAAAAAAAGTATTAAAATATCTTTAATTTCTTTTTTTTTTGTCTTGATCAGAAAGCAGGTACCTTGATTTAAATAAAAAGAAAATTTTTCATTGGAGATAGTTGTGGATTATTTTCACTGTGTTAATGATTCCTTAAGAGTGATTTCTTATTTTTTTCCCACTGACTCAGCAATCTATATTGGTTCCACCTTATGCTACCCAGGAAAATACTTTGTGACTTCATAAATTGGTTAAATTACTTATAGACATCAATATATTGTATTATATATACAAAAAATAATTATTTATTACATTTTTCACTCTGTTATTATTTGCACGTGATTTGTGTTGAGTTGCATTTGATTGAAATGGTCATTGTGTATAAAGCAGCATAAAAACATTGCTTTAAGGTTTGGGGGTTTAGAAAATTCTGACTTGTATAAATGTGTCAGGCATGTTTAAAGGGGTTTTATTTATCAGAATATACTTAGTGTTTAAAAGTGGCTTGTTAAATGCAGTAGCTAACCACAAATTTGGTATTTCTGTTCGTCAGTTTATTCAGGATTTTAGGACAGGTAGCTCTTGTATATGTGCTTCAATTATGTCTTGTAAGAGGAAAAGATCCTTTAGTGTTTTTTCATATATATTGGAAATCAACTAATTGAGAATGTCAGTTTATTCAGTCTAAAGAAGAGGCTGTTTATAGTAAATGCTATATCGCACTTAGTAGATCCTGTCAGTACAGATGCTTCACTAATACAAAGGTAAAAATTTGGATTTTGGAAAATGTAGTCACAAGGGAAAACTTTTCCTAAAAAAGAACAGTTTTAGTGTAGGAGAAAATTGAAATACCTGTAACAGTTGGCTGTTTAGTAATCTTAAATTTTATCTAGTACTGTAAGAGTGCTCAATTATCCCATAGAAAGGTCTTGCAGGTATATTTATGCAATGGTGCTTCCTTTTACTTTTTTTTTAATATATTCTTTGTAGTACAAATAGAACTGCACCTGCATATTAAGATACTTCTGCCTGGGGAAGAATGTGTTTCTCTCTAACTTGGGTAGGAAAAACTAAAATAGAGAGCATCACTTTGCATATCTCTGAAAATTATTGGAAATAATAACATTATAAGGCAGGTAAAAGATAAATGCTATCTTTCCCAAGAAGTTTGGAAAATTAACATGCCATTCTTACACAGATGAACTCTGGATTGTTAACCTGGTAAACAGTAATTTTGGAGGATTTAAGTATACATACTCAGGAAATACAACAGTATAGACCTAGAAGTTTTAAAATAATTTCACTTGAACTCTTTGTTTATAAAACACATTTAAAATGCAAACATGAAGCAGTAATAGCAATTTCAACATTATTTTACTGCTTATTTGAGGAAGTGCTTCATATACAGAATTTCTCCATTTTTCAATATGAAGTCATTAAATTATGGTGGGGAGACCAAAAATATCTGCATACTGCAGGATTCAAGACCTTGCAGCTTTAAAAGTGCCCTTAATATAAGGTATTATAATTAAAAGAAAGCAAAATCCTACTTTAAAAATGGTTTGTTGGGATTTCCTTAATTCACCCTAGGATAGAATCTTGTATATCTTTCCAGAGTCTCTTCATGATTTTTGGAGTGCTGTTAGCATGAATAAGAAGCAGTTCTACCTTGACTTACAAGTATGTAGTAGCAATGAAAACAAATGTGCAAAAGTTCCTTGAGAAACCAGAACTATGGCAATAAGTCTTGTCCTGAGTAGTCCCAGAAAACGAACTAATAATGAACTAATGTGTGTTTTTTATTTGGTGGTTGTTTTGCTGTGTTGTATGGAATCAGTGTAGAAAGATTGCACTTGATTTACTTCCTGAAAACTGGTCAAATCCAGAGAGATAAGATTCCTGTAAGATGAGAAGCAACTTGTGTCTTGCAAGGGTGTGTGTAATTCTCTACAACTCGCATGTTTCTGGGGAGGAAAAGCAATTCAGCAAAAAGCCAAATTTTTTTCAGCTTCTGGGATGACTCAAAGAGCATGTAGGATTGTTATATTATTACTTTATTTTCCTGTAGCTGTAGAATATTCATAGAATAATTAAATAGTGTTGGATAGTTAATCTTTAATGTGTTCATTAGCCGACTGTAGCCTAATAGCAAATGGGCATGCTTCTCTTACTACATCATCTTATATCGATTGTAAATGCACTTACTTCTGAAGGATAATGAAATAATTTTTCTCTAGTTTTCAGACAATGAAACTTAATTTCAATATTGATGTATTTTTGTTCTGAAATGTTATCACTCATCACTTTTCATTTCCTGTCTTCTAGTTGAAGCTTTATATCAAACCACTTACCCAGAATATCTCCAGTACATTTACCTAGTGGCTCCAATATCTCTCATGATGCTAAACCCTCTGGGGTTTATCTTCTGTGAAATCCAGAAGTGGAGGGATAATCGCACTGTGTCACAGAGCAAAATCAAAATAGTGGGCCTAGCACTCCTTCGAGTTTTGCAGAATCCAATTGTATTCATGGTCTTCATAGGAATTGCCTCAAACTTTATTCTCGGCCAGAAAATTCCTGAATACCTTGAAAGCTTTCTTGATGGACTGGGCAGTTCATTTTCTGGCTCCGCACTTTTTTACCTTGGACTAACTATGGTGGGACAAACAAAAAAACTGACAAAGGGTATGTTTGTTGCACTGATCCTTCTCATCACAGCTAAACTGTAAGTTTGATTTATGTACTTTTATAATTTTGTTCTCTAGATGTTTTAAGCTCTGAATGTGCTGGTCAGGTGGCTTTTTTTCTCAAAATCATTATAGTGATAGTGTGTTTCACTTCCAGTATTCTGGGTGAGTGCTTCCTGTACTCTCATAGTATACAACTGTTAACCTTTAAAAGAAACTTGGCACACCACAAATCTGTTGTCAGCCTCTGCAGAGAAAAAAATTCAGGGGTGCTGCGGCTTCTTGGGCTGCCTGCAGGCCATCTATCATGAGTTGGGTGTATGTGGAATAACTAGCTTAAATAAAAATTTGTTATTTAAATAATGAGGCAAGAGTGAGTTTAAGTATTATTTGATTAGTAGTTGCTTTCTTCTTTGGATTAAAAACCAAATCCCTAAATTACTTGGTTTTGCTTGCTTTGTCCATAAATGTTTGAAACTGCTGTATTAGAAGAGCTTAACAATGATCACTTTACAGCCTTAAACTGTCTGACTTTTAAGCACGAATAAATGACAACGTGTATTTAGATTTTATGCCATCCCTTGAATATATCACAGTTATTGGTGAACTACATATTTTATTTGCTACAGAGCTATAATTAACATAATAGAAAAGCTGTTTGGTGATTAAGTTTAGGTTCTAGAATTTGAAGGTACAACTAACTAGCAAACTTAAACCAGCTCAATGACAAATTTTATCAAAGCATGAGAACAAATTATTTTTAATGTTACCACTCTGCTTTATTGGTGAGTTTATGTAAACAGCCCATGTAAGGCTTACATAGCAAGTCTGCGTGAGATCTTGGGTATTGCTGGTGACCAGAATAGCATTGATACAGGGGTATTTTGCTGGCCAGAACTTTCAGAATGGAATACTTAAATCTTGAACCTTTGTTATATTTCAGACAGTTTACATAAATGTGATCTAATTTTCAAAGCTGCTGACTCCTTATAGCTACTATTACTCTAACAGTTGAAAAATGATGGGGTTTTTATATTTTACCTTTCTAAATCTGAGGTTTATACAAAGAATGTCTTTTATATCCCAGAGACTGGTGTAATTTTTACCAATTGGTTGGCTTTTTTTGTTTAACTTGTGATACAAAAATTTTAAGCAGCTAGTAAATGTCATGGTAAAAATAAAGAGAATCATTTGAAGTGATGTCAGTATTTTTCTTTTCATTAATAGTATTCAAACAAGCTTTAAGTTTTCTTTTTGTTAATTTTCTGAGTAAAGAAAAGTCAATTGCTATAGCTTGAATAATAATTTTTTAATTACTTTTCCCCTCTCTTTTCAGACTTATGATGCCATTTCTATGTAGAGAAATGGTGGAACTCTTGGACAAGAGTGACAGCGTAGTCAATCACACCAGTTTATCAAACTATGCATTTCTTTATGGAGTTTTTCCAGCAGCACCTGGTGTCGCAATATTTGCAAGTCAATTTAATATGGAAGTAGGAATTGTAAGTAGTTAGCTTTTTCCAAACATACACTAATTTTGAGCTTAACTTTGTTGATGGAATACTTAGATAAATAGGCTTGATGAATTTGCTTTTCTGTAGTGTAGATTCCTTAGATTTACTTGTACTCCCTAGATCTCAAATATAATTTATATTTCAGATTACTAATTTAGCAAAGTACTCTTTCCCGATGTCTTAAGTGTCTTGATAGTACACATTCATAAATAAGTCCTCATACTTTTCTTATTCTTGACTCTGGTAGGAAGAACTAGGATAACTAAATATAAAGAACTTGTATCTTTGTTGTAGGTTTATTGTGGTTTTGTTGTTTGTTTGGGTTTGGTGGTTGGTTTTTTTTTTCCAAAGGCCTTATCTTTGAGTTAGTGTTTTGTAGGAAAAAAACAGAAATTATGTTACTGACTTCAGTAAGAATACTGCTAGCTTAATACTGAAATCTTATGGAAGAACTTATGCTTTAACTGATTGTGTTGTGTTCCCTTTCAGTTAAGTCTTCCAATAGAAATGCATTTTAATTTATTTTTTTTATAGTAGAGGATATTGATTATCTTTCCAACTTAAGATACAAATTTTATAACTGTTTCTTTTCTTCCACTTGAAGTGACCTTAAGGTGTTCCTGTTAACTTCCCTTGTTTTTAGTGTTACCTATTTGTGGTTTGTTTGTTTGGGTTTCATTTGTTGTTTTTTTAAAGAAAAGGGGAAACAAAAGGACACTAAAAGTAAACCTTATAAGGTAGAATTTTGTGTCCAACAAACTGAGGACATCTCTTTAAAATGGAGTTCTATAGTATGAGTAAAAATTGTTACTTCCATGACTGTGCACATTCTAGAAAGCAGAAAGACAATGGAAAGCCAAATTATAAATCATTTAAATGTAAAAATATATGGCAGCTTCTCATTAATTGGTGCATATTAGTATTTATGCAAACTTTGCATCCAAAAGTAAGTTGTGACATTGCAAATCCACCCCTAGACTGTAGTTATTAGTATATTTGACACCCATGAAAAGCTCTGTAAGAATTTGCAGTAGGAAACTCTGTATTTCTACTATTTCAGAAGCTTGTTGAAATTTTCTGTTTAACTGTATGTATAAAATGGATACTTTCGGGCTCAAATTCTAAGTAATTTGTCATAGAAACGACTCAGTGATTTGTTAAAGGTCCATGTATGTTTGAGTCAAAGATGCAGTTTTGCCAGTGGTTGTATTCCTGAAAGCAGATTATTTAGCTTGAGATCTGATTAACTGTGCTCTTGTTTCTCTTTGACATTTTTGCAGATTACCTCAGGCATGGTGATAAGCACTTTTGTGTCTGCACCTATTATGTATGTTTCTGCCTGGCTGTTGACCATTCCATCTATGGACCCCAACCCACTGGCAGCTGCACTCCAAAATGTTAGCTTTGACATAAGTATCGTCAGCCTCATTTCTCTGGTAGGTGTTGAAGTGAAATACAAAAGCTCACTGTCATGTCAGGGTAGTGTATTAAGCAGCAAATTGAGTCATGATAGGATAAGAATCGCATTTCATCATCGTATCCTGTTACAGAAGGATGAGGAAGAAGTTAAAAATCTTCTTGATTTAGCAACGGGTCATCTGGAAAGCTGTACTGTAGGGGGAGATGGGTAAGTGAATTAGAGTACTGGTGCAGGGCTTGAGAGTTGGGGATTTGGCTGCCTGATACACACACACATTTTGTATATGAGCTATTAGCTACTCATCCTTAGTCCCACTTTGGTTTTAAAAAATAATGGGGTGTGGGTGAGTAACAGTACTAGCTTACGTCACAAGGAATAAGTACTTCAAATCTTGTGACGTGCTTGGATATGACAATAGTGGAGGCTGTATTAAAACTTCAGCTTCAGAAACATCAGTGAGTATTTATTTAATGAAGTATTAATGAGTATTAGTGAAAATGTTTAACTTGGAAATTTTAATGTAACTTTATCAAATTCCTTTCCTAGAAATTTTGGGTGTGCAGTTCTTAAAAAGGGAGTTGTTATCCCAGAAGACCAATGTGAATTGAGTTTTGGCTTTATAGGAATTACAGATACTTTGTTTATTTTGTTTGCTTTTTTAAAATAAAAACATCCATGTTGGAGGAAGTTGGAATTTTCTTAAATTGGTGTCTCACTGATGTCGTGTTGTCTTGAAATTACTTTAAGGGAAGCCACAAGTGAACGCTGCCATCATGAATAATCTCCAGAGATTCAGTAAAGATGGCAGGGGAAGAACCTTTTTAAATTCTGAATTGCCGGGCAGTTCTGTAGTCACTTATGTCCTGAGGAACAACCTGGCTTCTGCACCCTAGAGGGAAGCCTTTGGTACTCCATGGAAATATTTCACTATCATGAAAACACAAAGATGCATTGCTTTTTTTCTGGACATATTTTCTGAGGCATAGAGACTGGGAGGAGATTATGTGGAGCTGACTACAGTATTCATGTTGATAAGAAACTTGTCAAGAAGATTTGTTGTATATTTAATTTCGCCACAGTCTGCCATAATACTCTTGTTGTTCTCTGGGGTTTGTTTTAGTCTTAAATTCAATGTTATCTTGTGTGTTCTAGATCTGGTCTCTTGCTGTTGTTCTTCTGAGTAAGAAATACAAACAGCTTCCTCATATGATTACAACAAATCTACTTGTTGCTCAGGTCAGTAGTAAGAAGATGGTCTTGGGAGGTTTTTTAAGTCTTATTTTTAACATTTTTACAAGTTTGGCTTCTATAGTTATGTCTTTGTAGTCATCTAAGAAGAGCAGGGGAATCTAATGTGAGACTTGTCTAAACAATTTATGTGCCTTAAAATGCAACCTTGAAGAAAATGAGAGTAACACAGTTCTCAAGTGGAATGATAAGCAATCAGAATGGAGTGTGGCTTCTGAAATGTATTTTTAGCACTATTAAGTTACTGCCTAATAGTGTTGCGTGCTCTTCCCTGTCAATCTGTGCCAATCTGAAGTCAGCAATGCCAGGGTCAGCAGCTCCCTGGAGTGGCTCGCTGGGGGATCAGCCAGGGGCCAGAGCTGATGCAAGGGAGGGGTGTAGGAATACATGGCTTGTGGCTAGGAAAGGGCAAAACCAAATAGCTCAGGATTAATACTTATTGTTATTTAAACTGAGAGAAAACTATAGAGTACATGTTCCTTCTTCTGTTGAAGTCAACTGCACAACTGCTGTTAAACTGAGTGAGAGCAGCCTATTCTTGTGATACATCTGTGCAGTAGCGCTTTCTGAAGTGTTTGTTCCTTTTTGGGGGGAGGAGGGGCAGGAGAGAGAAAGGGTAAACTCTAGAGATCTGGTCATGGAGCCACATTTGAAAAAAAGTCACATGAGAGTTGCAAGTGCTTGTTGATAACAGCAAAGTTAGCTTTCATTTAAAAAAAAAAAATTGCAATACCGTGTTATTGTTTCCATAATATTTCAGCATATTTTTTTCAGATTCCTTCAATACTAAAGCTGTCATATATGGTGTATCTCTGGGTAAAAACTTGTGTAATTATTGACTGAACAGGTATCTGTTGGCCTCAGCTTCATGTCCAAATCTTTTTAGATGAGTGGTTTGTACTTAACAAAAGCTTTACCCTTTACTTATAACCTTAATCTTCATATACCTTATTATATATTATTCCCAGTTTATCTGAGCTATATATTTGCTGTCAAACATGCCCCCAACACGCCCCCCGAAAATAGGATACCCTAGTTAGTGACATAACTGTGATGTTGAGTTTACTGCTTTGCTGCTTCCCTGCTATGAGGACTAGCCAATTCATAAAATTACACTCCCGTGACTCTGGGGGTGGAGTTTTGAAGCTTATTGTAGCAATATTGCACTGTATTCGGCTTTTCTTGTCATCCTGGTCTCGCAATTTAATTGATGGCATCTTACCTTTCTTTCCAGTTTATTGCTTGCATTGGAATGGTGGCATGGAATTTCATTGTTAAAGAGAAAGACATCACCATGCAGATCCTAGTATTTATATTCCTCTACAGCTCACTTTACAGCACCTACCTGTGGACAGGTATGATTTTTCTAGGTAGAGCCTCGGTGCTTGCTGTAATAAAAGACTGATGTACTGAAATAATTTGTATTATTCAGAGTAATTGTTCCTTTCACTTGTATGTAATGCTACAGATGTGCATACACTTGTAAGCTGTGCCAAGCTGCAGCGCCAGCAACGCTGGGCTCAGCATCAGCTTATACCTGGGCAGGTCTTGTTTGTGTTTGCCGGATACAGCAGCCTTGCTAGCTTCCTGCAACAGACAAGAACATGCTCTCAAGACAGAAGCAATTACAAATAGAGCCAACGTGATGGGTTGCCCTCCAGCTAGTCCAAAGCTTATTGACAACTTTTAATTATTGTAGAATTTAGGGTTTTAAATTATTCAGCATTAAGAAGATTTAACAACCTTGTGCCTTAGGAAAGTAGGAAATACAAGATGAAGGGAAATAACCAAAATAGATTTAACATTTCTTTCCCCTGGCAATTGCAATTTCCAAAACCAATGAGTGCGTTCTGCAGGTGTAGATGATTAATGAAGGGATTATTGGAAGTAGGCAGAGTTGAAAGCTGCAATCAAGAAACTTGGCAAATCTTACCTGTATGATAGAAAAAGAGACTTTGGGTATTCAGGAGACCTTATACACCATTCTTGAGTCCAGAAGTTTAAGGTTTTAGTTCCTGTATTGTTTTTGTGGAGTAAGTTGTGTTTAGCTGAAATAGGTAGCTCATGATTAGTGTAGCCTAAAATGAATACTAGCTTTGCTTTCGCATGGGAAATGTTGCTGAGCTTCTGAGTTGTGAATAGAACAGGCATTCCCAGAAGATACTCCCATATATAGTTATATGTAACAATATGGGAAACTTTTTTGTAAAGCTTATTATTGACTTCATAAAGGACTAGTCAGTTTTTCAAGAAATGTCATAGCTGGATACAACATTATTTGTTGGTTACTTAAGATTGTCAGTCTGGATCAACTACTGTTAATGAACTGGTTACTTGTGTCTTAAATGTTCTTATGATTACTTTGAAACACTTGTGAACCTTTGTAAGCGTTTATAAGTGTATATTTAATATAAAGTGTGCTGGAATTTCTTCAGTGCTTCATTGTTAATAATGTTAAGATAATAGTTAATTCTATTTTAGTTTCTCAGAATACAACTAGAAAAAGAATTTTGGACTATTTGAAGGTCTAAGAAGATTATCTTAGTTATTGGGCAGGTCACGTGATAAAATGTTTAGATTCTGTAATTATCAGTTCCCTTTTTGATAATAAAAAAGGCATTTCTTTTGGGTTTTTTGTAGGTTTTCTGTCTTTCTCTTTGTTTCTCTTGAGGAAGAGAGAAACAGTAAAGATTCCCATTGGGTTTATTATCATAGCTGGATGGGGGTAAGTTAGTTCAGATTTTTCCCTGTAGAATTAGGGGGAGCATGGTAAATATTTTACTTTGTTTGTATTTTGCTCTTTCAGAATCCCAACACTTCTGGTGGGAATTTTACTAATTGTTGGTGAACATAACAACTCTAGTATTGACTCTGCCTTTTTCTATGGAAAACACCAGGTACGAACATGTTCTGTCCTCATCACTTCTGCTGTGTCCAATACATTATTGAAAAACTGTGTTCTCTTTTTGCTTCTCATGTAAGTAGTTTTCAGTCAAAGTATAGGCTACCATAATAACTGTCATTATAGAATGCTTATAGATTGATACAAAAATGTATTTCTGTAATGAACCGTAGGAGAACTTGTTTGAACAAGGACCTTCATGCTTAGGCAACTATGACTAAGAAAAAGAGGGAGTAGGCTTCCCGAAGGAAAGGCTTAAGAGTAGTCATGAATTGCAGAGCCCTTTTCCTGGTGACTAATTTGTAGTCTCGCTTGATAATTATATAAAATTATTACTATCCAGTGGCTAATTAATGGCTTTTGGTCTGTAATAGATAGGATCTACATTACCTGTGTAGCAGTAGCTGCTTGCTCTATGGGAGATTTCTCTGCACAATTGTGGGTTGAAAATCCCTGAGCCTGAACTACTGTTTTTACCAATAAATAGTTCCTCTTATCAGAGGATGTAAAGTGCACTAGCATAGATATTTGTCACGTTTTCCCTGTTTTCCCTGTCTTTTTTGTGGATACAGAGGCTAGGAGTCTCTTGGGATTATACACACGGTGCTTTCACCAGTATTAAATAGCCTCAGAGTGGACACTGGCTACCAGTAGCAGATGATTAGAAGGAAAGGTTAATTAATGGGATGCTCCCCATTGGTGAAAGCATGGAAATTAGAGCTGTGGCAGAGGGTGACAAGAGCACATTCCTCTTTGAAATTAAAAGATACCTGAACAGAACTTAAACTGGAGCACTGATGATCCTGAGGGGAAAGACCATGATGATGAGTGGATGTTTTTGGATTCCATGGGAAACAGGGGGTCCTGCTTTAAAAAAAAAAAACCAAACAAAAACCCAAGAAAAACAACAAAAAAAAAAAACCAAACAAAAACCCAAGAAAAACAACAAAAAAAAAAAACCAAACAAAAACCCAAGAAAAACAACAAAAAAAAAAAACCAAACAAAAACCCAAGAAAAACAACAAAAAAAAAAAACCAAACAAAAACCCAAGAAAAACAACAAAAAAAAAAAACCAAACAAAAACCCAAGAAAAACAACAAAAAAAAAAAACCAAACAAAAACCCAAGAAAAACAACAAAAAAAAAAAACCAAACAAAAACCCAAGAAAAACAACAAAAAAAAAAAACCAAACAAAAACCCAAGAAAAACAACAAAAAAAAAAAACCAAACAAAAACCCAAGAAAAACAACAAAAAAAAAAAACCAAACAAAAACCCAAGAAAAACAACAAAAAAAAAAAACCAAACAAAAACCCAAGAAAAACAACAAAAAAAAAAAACCAAACAAAAACCCAAGAAAAACAACAAAAAAAAAAAACCAAACAAAAACCCAAGAAAAACAACAAAAAAAAAAAACCAAACAAAAACCCAAGAAAAACAACAAAAAAAAAAAACCAAACAAAAACCCAAGAAAAACAACAAAAAAAAAAAACCAAACAAAAACCCAAGAAAAACAACAAAAAAAAAAAACCAAACAAAAACCCAAGAAAAACAACAAAAAAAAAAAACCAAACAAAAACCCAAGAAAAACAACAAAAAAAAAAAACCAAACAAAAACCCAAGAAAAACAACAAAAAAAAAAAACCAAACAAAAACCCAAGAAAAACAACAAAAAAAAAAAACCAAACAAAAAACCAAGAAAAACAAACCAAAAAAAAAACCCAAAACCTGAATTACTCAGTCAAGAAAAATTAGTTTCATGTACTCATTGCTCTTTCAGTGCCACAAGATGCAAGAGCAGTAAATACAGAAAACTTATTCAGCTACATTTGTTAGTATATTTGGGAAAGTACAGAAAGTTAGGAAGACAGATGTATGCAACTATTTTCCTTTATTTTATATTGAAGTGTATTTTCTTTGCTCTCTTAACAGATAATTACCACAGCAGTAATCCTGTTCATCAGTATATTGATGTCAGGTATCTCACTTATGTGCATGAACAGGAATAGGCAAGAGTCAAGCTATGAGGTATTGAACCCATATTCACCACGTAGCCAAGTGGAGGAGGTTGAAGTGGAAGGGAGAGAGGGGAAACAAGTTTCAGCCACTGTGCCTCAGCCTTCTCCAGGGTCTTCTGCACAGCCTTCTCCAGGGTCTTCTGCACATCCATCTGCAGAAAGAGGTAGAGAAAGTAGATTTGTAAAAGCATAAATGGTTCGGGATATGATAAAAATTGTTCCGAATGTAATTCTGGCCTAGGAAGGACAGTTGTTTACACCTTAAAGTGTTACACTAGGCCAGAGGAAAATCTAGATATTACTGCCCAAGGATTTAGGTTTATGTTTCTAAGGAAAGTTTGATGGTTATCACAGTAAGAGTGGGGGAAGTGGACGGGGGGGGGGAAAAAAAAGCATGTGTATGGTCTTAATATAAGTAGTGGTATCTTGATAAGGATGTGATAAATGCAGCCCACTAGGCATCTTAGATTGTTTACCCACTAAACTGTCTCTAATGAGTACATTATAAGCCAGCAGCATTGCTACTTAATGTGTTTCTAATCCTCCTTGTTTGTACGTAGCCTTGTCCTGTATGTTCTCCCTCCAGCTAAAAGTACTTGTGTTGCTTCCATGGTGGTACTGCTATGTTAAATATTCCTATATATTAGTAGCGTAACCCATTTACCCTTGCAGCAAATGGGAAAAATTAAGTCTGCTTTCTCCTTTCAGGTTATTTTTGAGCATTATAGTTAAAGCTGTATAAAATATATTGTTATATGTTGAAAATAAGTTATGGGAGTGAAGAAAGCTAACTGTCCTGTTACTGTGTACGTCTAATAGGCTGCTGTTCATGTCAAACAACAAATGGTGAACTATCCTGTGCTGGAGAGAGCAAAGTAGTGTTAAATGCTGTTGAAAGCAAGGTTCCTTCAATTGAGACAGGTAAAGCAGTAGCATCTCCTTGTTATAATACTACAAACTCTTCTACAATACTTACAGTGTTTTTCTCACAAAGTTCTCTCAACTCTATGTGGGTAACTTATATTTAATATTAAATTCAAGTATTAGGCAATATGTTAGGTGTTTGTTCTCTTCTGCCTGATGGTTATTAGTAATCTTTCAGTGCTCAAGATGGACAGTTGTTTTGGGTTGTATTTTTACTACTAAACTACTTTAAGACATCCTTCTGAGCATTCAGACTTTACCTCTCAGTCGTTGCCTCGTTTGGATGCTGGAAAATTGAACGCCTAACCCTCTTTTGCCTCAAGTTTTCAACTTAAACACACTTTTTTACATTCTCAGTCACATCTTGTGTCTTCTGAAAAGGTCTGTGAAGCCTTTGCTGTAATCATGCACAGGTTTTGAATGAGAAATCTGAATGAGATCTACAAGAGCAGGCACTTACTGCAGATCAGATCAAATGTCCGTGCTGCTGTACTATTCATGTCTAGGGGAGAGAGAAAGAGAAAATTGACTAAGGGGGCCTTAGGAGTCACTGAAATGGAAAAAATGGATCAAAGTGACTGTTAAGCACCTGATGGAAAACTGCATGCTCAGCCCATTCTCATCATACATCGCTTTCAATAGTCAAAGCTAGCTGCAGTGCAACCTTTCTCTTTTTCCTGTTTTCTTTTTTTTTTTGGTTTTTTGTATCCTTAGCAAGGAAGTTCATATCTTTATGCTTCTTTTGGATGCGATATAACTTTCAACAGATCTAAATATTTCACACTGAGACACTCTTAGTTATGTCTCCTCTCACAAAATACTAGCTTTCTACCTATTGCCAACTATTTTATCTATTCAGTAATTCAGACAAGCATCATAAGAATGTTTTCCAATGATAGAGGGAGGCCACTTTAATTTTGTTATCCTAAAAGATAAGGTAGAAAATGTCTTATGATTGAGAGGAAATTTTTTCGACCTACTGAGTGAACACTTCAAAACTAAAAATCAGTAAAAGCAAATTGTAATGGATACACTTGTGTAACTGGCTGCAAAAATTACTAATGCTTCTACTATTCCATTGAACTGCTATGACAGGTATCTGGTGCAAATTCTTATGTATGTCCTTGCCAGGAAGTTTTTCACTGCCATCTAGAGGAAGATACTTAGAATTCATTAGGACTCTAGCTGCATCCATTCCCTGTGTTTGTCTCTTTTGGTAGGATTGTGACCATGTTCTGATGCACCACGTTTAAAAATACAGAACTGAAATAAATAAGGTTGATTGATCTAGAGCTCAGCAATGCCGAGACACTGAGTAAAAACATTAGAGCTGACAGTGTATTTGGAATACTTATTCCAGAAATTAATTTGAAGTATAAAAACTGTTCTGAGAAATGACTGCTTTTTTTTCACCATTTCTAGTAACGTTTTCTAAATGATAACCGCAACTTAAGTTTGCATTAAGCCTTCTGAAGAAGAGTTTTGCTGCAAAAAGTTTCTTTATTTTAGGATCACATGTAATCTCCTGTTTCATTTGAGAATAGATGTCTGAACAGGTTATAGTCAAAGCTAATGTTGCATTTTGTGTGTGTGACTTGAGTACAGATACTTACAAGGTAATTTAACTTAGCAAGTTACATTAATAAGTTTGCTCATGGAGTTTGTTGGTCAGAAGCCTAATGAAGAATTCTGGTGTGTTTTTCAGCTGATCAGTGTGTGAGTCGTTGCAGTGCCCAAACCTGCGTGTTGGCTCAGGAGGAGCAGCTTCTGCAGACCGGAGACAAACAGCTGGCCAGACACGTGCTGCTGTGCTTACTTCTTATTGTTGGCCTGTTTGCTGTAAGTATCTTTTTTTTTCCCCATGCTGTTTGACTCCTTGAGGTAGAATGATTTTTAGGAAAGCTATGTAGACAGCCCAGGAAAAATCTTCCAATTACTTGTGTAACAATTCATTAATTAGATGCTTTATTTTGGCCCCTAACTGGAAAAGTGATATCGTAAAATTAATTTTTATGTGCCACATCATAAATTAAAGGCAAGTTAAGATTGATGATGTTAATGAGCAAGCCACACTGGACAACCCTAAGGGGAAAAAAAAAAAAGGAATTGTATCATTTGGTAATTAATTCATCACTACTGCCCCTTTGCCCATTTTCCTCAAATGCTGGTCTTCTTCCCTAGAGAGTAATCAATTAAAAACATAAACTGAATTCTACTTCTGAGGGAGACTGTATAAAAATTGTTCCATCTGATCATGCTTATATTTGGAACTTGGATTTCTCAGAGGTGGCTTAGTAATGAAGAATAATGTAAGACACTATTTGAAAAAGGAAAATGCAATTTTGTGGCTTTTAGTGGTGGTTTCGAGGCAACATAGCTAAGTTGGTGTTGCCAAGCATCATTACTGACTTGATCCCAGCTTGCAAAGGTGGCTGCTCCTGTGTAAAAGTGTGAAATACCAGAATGTAATGCATTAGGGATATAATTTGAGTTTTTAACTGTGGCAAAGATGAGAAACAACTCTCTCTGTTTGAATGTAATGCTCAAAGTTGAGCTTCTTGTGGATTACATAGATACTATGAAGTGAGACCAGTTACATTAAAGCATTAGCCTTTACACCCAAAGACTTAACTTTGAAGGGTTTTTTTCCTTCTGTTAGGCATCTAAAATAGCTGAAGTGGTATGTGCCTCAGCTTTACGCAATCTTAACTATGCAGAAAATATGCAGGAAGCAGGGGTCCTGGCTAAACAGGCCTAAAGACAAATACTGCAAATCTCTCTGGGCTAATGTTGTCTGTCTTAGGTTGAATACCTAAGTAATGCTTAAGGCAAGTGTGCCTTAGGTAAACATGTAAAGGGGCAGGATCTCTAGGCTGGTATGTTTTACATTATTTGAAAACAAACAAAACAACAAAAAAAAACCCACAAGCTCTCCTCCCTCCGCCCTCTTCCCCCAGCTATTAAGCCTAACTGAAATGATATTTTAAGGTGTTTATTCCTTTTTATTTGCTGTTAACTGAATCGTTTGTTAAAGACAGACAGTGAAAATTGCCTATTAGTATGTGAAGAGTAAAAAAGTGCTTTTGTTTTTAACAGTCAGGTTAGGTTTGTGGGTTTAGTTGTGTTTTTTTTTTTTCTTAACAGAATCTTTCCAGTTGTTTGTGGTGGCTGTTCAACCAAGAGCCTGGAAGACTATATGTGGAATTGCAGTTCTTCTGTGCTGTGTTTAATTTTGGTCAGGTACTTATCAATGTTGGTTCTGAAAATGACTTTGTTAGTGGGTGTTGCAGCAGATGCTGTTACAAGAACTCTAAGTTGAAGTCCTCAAACAATGCTGAAGTCACCAGCTCCTTATGCTGTTTTGCCTTTTTTTGTCCTCAAGCTTATTCTTTTGTTTTGGTAGCTTTCTTATCATAGTGCATGTCTTCTATGTGCATGAACACTTTCAAAGGGAATTGAGTAGGATTTTGTGGAGTGAAACCAGTATAACTAAATAGGTGTAAGATGGATACTTTCCATCTTACATGGATACTTTTGCTATAAGGCTTTAAATTATTATCTCGTCAGTTTCAGTTACAGCACCATTGACAAATACCTGACAGTAAGATGTATAATTGTTCCAGCTGCACATAGTCTGTTTCAGTACAAACTGCTACAAGATAGCTTTGTCATCTATGAAGGTGAAATTAAGGCAGTTTTAATTAACATACTAAAGGAATGTTTTACAGATCCATGGACAGATGTGCCTACAAGATACTCTGCAGTATCAAGTAATGATAGTAGTTTTGATACAAAAACGGCACAGAAAAATGAATTAACTAGAGAGCATTCTAGCGTTTAAGTTACAGTAAGTCAGTTCTTTTCTTGACATTAACAGTGACAGATTTAAATAACTGGCTATTTAAGGATAGTCGGTTATCCTGAAGTGTCAGATGCCATGTCCCGGCATTAGGTTTACTGAACTGTTTCTTGAAGAGTTTCTTTGATGGATTGTTATGTATTAATCTGTCTTTTTAAGGCCCAAATGAAAAATCAAAGCACAGAAAAAAATACATTTGAATGATACCTAGAGAAGAGGGATACTTTTCACGTGTGTTTTGGTAACAAGTTTTTAACATTTTATTTCTGTTCTTTAGAAACCAAAGGTTTTGTTTAACCTTGCTTTTGCTGTATTTTTCCCTCCAGGGCTTCATTTGCTTTGGTATTTTTGGCTTAGATAAGCATTTAATCATTCTACCATTCAAGCGAAGGTAAATAGAATCTTTACACTTACACCTATAAACTTAAATTAGTAACAATAATAGTTTTTAAAAGGTTTAATTGTTGTATTCAGTACCATTGCATTCCATTTCCTATTTTTTTGACCTTCCAAATTTATTTTCTCTCCCAGTTGTGGAGAGCTAATTGCAACTCACTGCGCATGAGTTTTTGGTGCTGTCCTAGTGACACTCCCAATGACAAAAACCCCACAGTCTCCTATAGACAAAATCTTTGGCAAATGATAGTGAAGTATCTGATTGGATCAGTGAGATGATGGGTCTTCAGAAATATTTTCATCTGATAAATTAAAATTTAGATGTGATTGCTGAACCAGAGTCTGTAAAGTCCTGTATTCTTAACCTCTTGCAAGTACTTTGTGTGGATGGGCGCTTTCACTGTGGAGGTGTAAGTTGTACAAAGCCATCTTTAACTCAGAGGTAGCTGGCTGTGATGTGAATCCAGCAGCTAAAGGTAGCTCCCAGCTACTCTCTGTCTTTCCTTCTGACTGAGCCTGGAATCAAACCCCTCTGTGTTCAAAGGCCATAGGAGTGTATTAGAAAGATTGTATATAAATTACTGGGCACAAAACCAGTAAAGCAGTTGTAATAAGCTTCCTACGAGTTCCATTCTATTATTTGCAGTTTCCTTAAAAATGTCTCTAGTTGATTTGCTGGTTTTCTTTTTTTTTTTTTTTCCAAGACTTGAATTTCTGTGGGGAGGAAGAGAAGCAGCAGGGCATACAGATCCCTCTGTACCTGAGGAAATCAGGATGACCTGTCAACAGTTTGTTCGTTATCATAGAGATCACTGTGTCAAAAGCATTGTCAGAGGCAGAAGGTAAGGTCTCTCCCTGCACATACAACCTGTTACAAAGGTCATAAGGTTATAGCTCACCTCTTGGAAATAATGAAATGCAGTTTAATCTGTCTGTGGGCAATTCCTGTTGTGGCATTCAAACCTCAAGGTGAGGATTAAAAAATTAGCAGTAACAGAGAAATGTTTCTGGTCTTCCACTGAAACATTGAGGTGCAAGTTATCACATTCCCATCTAGGTTTTATATAAATTATAAAAAGTTTTCTATCATTAAGACATTGCCCCAGGTTTTTGCGTTTAGCTGGAGTTCAGGAGAGAAGATCTTTCTGAAGAAATGTTTATGATAATGCCTCTAATAGAGTGCATGTGTCTATGAGTTTTGCTTTTGTTTTGAGATTAAGGAGGTGTCAGTACTTAAATGACTGAATGTTTACTAATAAGTAGCTTGTACAGGAGGCAAAATTGTTGCAATTGTTGCCAGTGTGTGTTCAGAGGCCACTTAGTATGTGAGATTATAGTGGTTTTAGGATCTTTAAGCCTTTTGAGTTCATACAATTTCTTTTGCTTTTCCCTCTTGTGAGGCCTAAACCTCAATTTATGAGATCAGTAAAGCTTTCAGAGGCAAATTATGATACCCAAATCAAGGATTATGTATCCAGGTACGTGTAGGTGGATGAGAAGAGAAATGCAGACAGAAGCAGCAGGAACAAAAAAAAAAGAGTCTGCCTTTGTTTAAATATTTACTGTATGAAATGGAGACATGAAGAATTGTCCTAACAGGACACACAACTTTCTTGTCATGTAATCTTTTAAGTAGGATTAATTTGGGTTGGTCAGATATGTCTGAAACCACGTTCCAGAACTGTATTTGACAGCATCCTGATTTTGTTCTCCTCAGTCTCCTCAGAAGTCAGTTAGGTTTCATGAGAAATAAAGTAATGAAGTTATCCTTTTAGGAAAAATGAACTGTGGCAGTTTGAGAACTTGCATTTTTCATGCCAGATAGTAAAAGATGTATCAAAAAATGTTTGTTTTGAAATAGGACAGGTTTTACAGTTGTGTTTATTGTGACTGCTGCTATTGTGCTTACGTGGGCTTTGGGCCCTTTGGTTGGGTTTTGTGGTTTTTATTAATCATATATCCACCTGAGAGTACATCAAAATTTGACATTTGTTGCTTCATTGTTTTAATATTATGTTTGTGCAGAACTAGTTTTATGTCTTACTTCTCCTTGTGATTTAAAAGAAAGCATTTATCTTCTCATTTTAAATATTCATTTAACTTGATCCTATCCTCTTTGATTTAATCATACTGTAACTGAGACCTTGTAATCATGGATTTTTATTTCTTTTAATTTTTGCTTCCCTGCTAATATATGTTAACACTTGCTCTGTGTTACTGCTGCTTTTAACTTAAAAAAAAAAAAAAATAGAGAAAGAAGTTTGCATTTTGCTGTCTTTGTGTAGCTGTTAATCATCTTCAGAAACCCTGCACTTGGGTTCCATAGAGCAGATTTTAGATAACCAGAAACATTTATTGCTCCAGGTAAATTTCTGAATGGTATTTTTACTGCAACTAGGCAGATACTAGCGGCATAGCCTCATAAATACGTAAAAGAAAATTAGTTTAGTCTTGTTGTAAAGGCTTTGTTTATTCTTAGTACTGCCTGTGTGGTAAATATTTAACTGGATATGCAAGTTAAATGGTTTTTGTGTACAAACTATGTAAGCGGTTAGTGTCTGTTTAAAGCTGTAGGGAAATTATAAAATGGAATTAAAGTGCAGATTGAGTCCCTGTTGCTGCAGGCACGCTGCACTCAAATCGGATACATTGTTGCAGAAATGGTCATGCTAATGAGTACATGGGAAGTAAGTATCCATGGAATAAAATTACATTGTGTATGTTTTTAGGAACATTGCTACTTTTGTTCACTTACGTTTATTTGCAGAAGCCTAAAATAACATTGTACATACATTTTGCTTCTCTTTGAAATGTCTGTAGGAAAAGGTAGTGAACATTGGCATGTCCCTAATATACAAAACTTGCAAATTCTCTTCTAACATGCTCTTAACTATCACGATGTCTTTCCTTGTTTCCTGCTATTTTTCCTTGCCTTTCCCCACCGTGCAGTGGTGATACCAGATTTACAGAACATGTGGGTGAATCATTCCTTTGACATACAGGTGTGGTGCAAAGATCTCCACGGGCATCTTCTTTGGCTGTGACCTGGTGAACTGGCTCATGCAAGTTGGCCTGGCCTCTGACCGCGGTGAAGCTGTGATGTATGGAGACAGACTGATGAAAGGAGGCGTCGTCCAGCATATCACAAATGAGTTTGAATTTCGGGATGAATATCTGTATTATCGCTTCATTCCCAAGAGATCAGTTGCAGTTGAGAGCCATTGACCTGAGCATGTAGGCAGAGGATAGGCAGTTCGGGGTGGAAGTGACCACCTCATCTGTCTTCACCACTGAAATGGGAAGTATTTCTGTCTCGGGGCTCTCAGAGAATTGTGTTGTTCTCTCTTGTCAAGTTGAGAGATGTGGTTCTACTTGTTTCTATTCCGAAGGAAATAGTAGCAAGTGATATGTAGTGAGTGTTCCAACCAGAATGCAAATAGAACAAAGCAAGATGCTCTGGATTTAGAGCATTTTTTCCATTTTGAGGAAAACATATAGTAAAATTTTATATGTTACTGTCATATTATAGAGGCATTATAATAGCAGCTTTACTGACTGGTGCCACAATGACAAAAAAAACCAAAACACCTACAAAAAAATCAAATATGAATGAGAGCTATTTTTCATGTTGCTGTATGTTTTCCATACTCTAGTGTGATGAAATATTGATTCCTGTTTACAGTCAGGCTTCTCCCTGACTTCAAAGAAGTAGGATTACTTCTATCATATCCCAGTTTTTACTACTCTACTCTTGTCTAACACCAGGAAATTTTTCTAGCTGTTTACACCTCAGATCAGGTAGTTTGTTTCTCTCTTAAAGATAAAATCCTCCACTTGTAAAAGTAGAATTGTTGTGAAGATGATTCCAATGTCAGAGGATTAAAGGCGAGAAAATATTGAGTGAAATAGATAATGGTTTTGTACAAACTTACCAAGTCTTAAAAACATAAAAATACCCACTGCTCCCCCAAAATAGGAAATGATATAACAGAATTTCATACAAACAACTGCTTCTGAAGTTTTGCCTTATGGTGGTAGTAACAGCTTTGTCAAGAGTAGATTTTTACTTTCTGAAATTAGCCTTTCCAGTTTAATTAAGAAGTGCCAGCCTCAAATAAAGACATTATGGACACCTTGTATACCTGTGCAAGTCAAGAAGAAAAATTTTATCAACTCTTAAAACCTTTTAAATAAAATACAGTGACTTTTAAATCTATTATATAGAGAATCCTAACTGAACAGAAAAGTTACAGTTTAGAGTAGCTAAAGATCCTAAAATTTTAGTATTGGTTGCCTAGCACAGGTTTCTAATGAGCCTCAGGTATTTTCCTACGATCTTTAAATACTTACTGTAGCATCATTCAGATTCCTGTGCACTGAAGGCAGAATCTTAGAATCTGCGTGTCTTCTGCAGCATTTTGAAAAGGTTAAAGACAAACTGTAGTATCTGATAGCCATTTTGCTGTCCTTTTAAAACTGCAAGAACAGCATTTATATGTCTATATAAAAATTTTATATAGTGAGGGAAAGGAACCCAGGTATTTAAAAAAAAAAAAAAATTACTTGCTCAAGCATACCTCGTCTTTTTTTTTTTAAAAGTTTTTCCCTTTTTTTTGCACATGGATTTTTTTTATTACAACCACTTACGCATCTACTTTGTATTAAGAATTGAAAGTGATTTTTAGCAGCATAAACTGCTGTTCGAGAAACAGTTGTTTTATGGTAGCTATAACTCCATGCAAAACTTATTTTGGAAAAAGAATTCCTTTTACTGTCAGTCTTATTGCACGTCTGCAGTGTGCACAGAAACGTAACTGCATCCTACTGCGTATGTATGCTATCCATACATATTTTAATGTTTTCCAGCAACAAAATAATTGACATGTGTATCAGGCTGTGGCCACAAAGGAAAACTATAGCCTATTTCCATTACAACTGCTGAAGACAGCTACATCAAATATTTTGGAATAATTAGATATATGTGACTTAAGAGCAGAAGCCACGAGTGTGTCTGGCTTCTAAATACTGTAACTTGTCAATAAATCTGTTACTTGATTTCAGAGTTCTGTGCTTTGATGTGGTGTGAGGTGTGGGAGGGTTATGTGTGCGTGTCAAAATTTAAGACAAATGTATTTTTCTGACAGATTTGCTAACGTGGCTCTTAGGTTTCAAATTTGGTATTTCTTAAATCTCCTTTTGATGCTTTTTAAATAGGCAAAGGACTTGCTAATGGGTGTGCACATAAAGATACCTGGTTTTGTCTAACAGCTTAAACAGATCTTTAGGAACATTTCAATTATCATCTACTTACCAAGTGCAGTTCTTTCTCTCTTTTTCTTTCTCTCTCTTTTTCTTTCTTTCTCTCTCTTTTTCTTTCTTTCTCTCTCTTTTTCTTTCTCTCTCTCTCTTTTTCTTTCTCTCTCTCTCTTTTTCTTTCTCTCTCTCTCTTTTTCTTTCTCTCTCTCTCTTTTTCTTTCTCTCTCTCTCTTTTTCTTTCTCTCTCTCTCTTTTTCTTTCTCTCTCTCTCTTTTTCTTTCTCTCTCTCTCTTTTTCTTTCTCTCTCTCTCTTTTTCTTTCTCTCTCTCTCTTTTTCTTTCTCTCTCTTTTTCTTTATTTTTTTTAATTCTTCAAATGTTCAAGAAGTTGATCTTAGGTCAGTTTTACAGTCCTGTGCAGAGTTCCTGGTTTTGCACTTTTTTCTTTCTCATTTTCATCACAAAGTCCTGCCCCGCCTCCCTTTTTATAATGTCTCTGCTGCTCCCTAGACTTGAACACAAAGCCTCTGTTTTAAGTAAGAAATTGGTCAAAATTTCTGCTTAGAGAAGACTCCCATTACAAATGTAACAAAGAGAACACCTTTAACAACTGACACCAAATTCTGTTATAATAACTGTTACAACATCGTGACTGCTGGTATCATACCCATTAGTCTACAATGGTTAATAATTAGACTAAAGAAACTAGGACTAAATACAGGAATGAATATGATAATCTATATCTAAATTACTGGGTACTTCTGGAAACTAAGAATAGGCGTTGAATACCTTTAGAAAGGTAAGTAACTCTTTGATCTGATAAATAATTACTTCAACCAAGGAGCACTGGCAAGTTTTAAAATAGTTGACAATTTGATGTATGTCAATAGTTGATCTACTGAGGTGTGAATTTTTGGTGGTTAGAAATAGCTTTGCTTTAAAGATGTGGTCAGTGGTGCAATGAATTCTTTTATTCTGAAGGTGCATTAGTTTGGGGTATACCTCAGTTAACTTGGAAGTTACAGTTCCATGAAAACATCCACTGAACAAGTAAGTCCAGAGGAGTCTCCAGGGACACAATGGATCTTCTTTCCTAGCACTAATCTCAAAATAACTGTGACAGTGGACAGAGGTGGATATAAAACTTTGTTTTCTAGGTAGCAGTTGTAGTAATTTTTTTGTTTTGGTTTGGTTTTTTTAAATTATTCATAAAGCTCTAAACCTTTTAAAATAAGCTGCAAAATGTATTCCTCGATGAAATAGATGCAAAGGTTGCCCTCTAGAGGACATTCGGTTTTTTCTATTTTTTTTTTTTAACGTATGGTTGAGGGATGGAGGGTTCTTTTTTCCTCCTGATCTAATATTAATTTTTTGTTTTTACAGTACATGTGTTCTAGGAGGATGAAATCCCAGGGAAAAAAGGTACCAAAATGTTCTGTACTCTGTTGGCCATCACTTGATCTATCTCCACAAATAACATTGGTTTTATTCATGTCCTGTAGGTTGTAAATAAAAACAGCACAGAAACTAGAGGAACCGTTGCTCTGTATCTACCTGTATTACTACCAGACTGATATGCTTAACCTGGTTAATTGCCACCCCATGATTAAGTGGCCAAGAAGCTCACTTAAAGGCCTGCTCTACCACCTTCCCTACGTTTGTTCCTGTGTAACTTCACTGTATTTGCGTTGTAGCAAAAAAAAATGTTTCTCTTGTTTTGCTCTGCTACCTGTAAACTTGACTCATACCTTGGTTTCCAACACAGTTTTACAAGGCATTTATCAATGCTTTGAAATTATCAAAGAGGTAGTGTGGAACAGCTGATGATCAAAAATGGGACAAAGATATACACGATTGTCAGATATAGACACCCTGGGGAAAACAGATAAATATAGCAAAATTTTACTAAATATACCTTCCAGCTCAATAGCACCATATCCATGGTGCTATTGAATGTCAAAGAGATTTTTTGGCAACACTGGCACAAAAGGTTCACAGTCAATTCAATCTTACTTTCAGTCTTACCTGCTACTCAGTCCTGCTTGCTACTGCTACTTGGTATGCGTATGATCACTAGAACTAGAAAGTTCAAGGACTTTCCTAACCCATTAGTTTCTTCCTGTGGATCTGAACACAGTATCACAAATTAACTTCTGCTTTTATCGTAGGATCAGGGAGAACAAATTCTGCCAAGCACTTCATTTCCTTATTCATGCTGCAGACTTTATTGTGTATATATTTCTTTTATTTGCCTATACATTATACTTTACACTTTTACCAGTAGGGGGATAGAACAGTTTATAAAATGAGAAAACTGTATGTGTGTAGCCCTGTCTTTAGCATCTGAGATTATTCTAGAAACTGACTAAATACAGAAAAATCATCAAACAATGGTCTTTCTGTGGGAATGCTGTGTCATGTCACATACTGCTATTGCAGCTCTAATGCTCCATTTCATGTTACTTGTCCTCTTCCAAAGGCTTGCAGAAGTCCTGGTTTTTGTGTTGTTTTTTTTTTTTTCCCTCCCAGTCTTACTTTTCATCCTGCTTGATCATGTAGTAAAGCTACAATCTTCTTTCTTTGTTGTTTCCTCAGTTTGTCCCTTGTCACAGATAACAAAAGTAATGTCACATACTAATCATTACTTTTAAACAGGATCAGGGAGGAAGACTACCTTGCAGGGAAAAAAAATTGATTAAATTAACTCCATAGTCTAGTAATTTCAGCAAGAAAAGTCATGGTTAAAATGCCTTAGATGAAGTGAAAATATTTAAAAAGACTTTTAAGTGTCCTGCTGAGTACATGTATATACTTGCATACCCCAGACTCTTTTTTTCTAGTTGCCTGATTTTAAAAAGTAACAATTTAAGAAACATTTCAAAAATCCCACGTGATGTTATAAAGTGTATTGCAGAATTAATTTGACAATAATCATACTGGTATGTAAATAAGTTAATTTATTTTTCAGTAGCAGGGTGAGGAAAATAGGGAAATGAAAATTGTGTGGTAATTTGCAGGATGCTTGCATTGTTGAATTCCACGTAATCAGATTTCACAACAAACCATGGGGTAGTTTGTTTTTAATATACTTTGAACTCTTAGTCTCATTTTACATTGAAGGCCTAGAAGTTTCTTATATGAGATGTATCTTAGAATGATATTCTGCTGCTTGATAAAACCAATCTTACTTGACTTGCGTATCACTTTCCTTTTTATTCAGTGCAATTTTAGGAAGGTCCTTCAGCATGGCCATTTTAATCCAGACAACATGAAGTTCTGTTACAGTTATCTTGACTATAAAAGCTACATGTGTGTACACTAGAACAGAGTTCTCCAAATCTGAGTTAGTGTTCTTCATCCAGAGATGGGGTGGTTCCACAATTTATCCCATTCAAATTGTATCTGTTTGTTGGCAAAATCAATCTCTGCTGACAGCGTCATGCCACGTACAGCCAAAGCCCCTGCCTAGCTCTTAAGAGCCTTTTCAGTATTGCTTCATACAGTCAAAAGCTGTTGGGCCTGAATATAAATCTACATCTTTAAAACTGTCCATACTAATTGGTATATTGAAAACAGGATGTAATCTATAGCTGCTTCATTAGGGAAGGTAATCATAAAGCTGAATTTTACCACATTTGAATAGTAGTTTTAGCTATATATCTTGAGTTCTTCTTCTACACACTGTGAAAAAAGGTTAACCACTTGGTCAGTGTCAAGACATCCCTTTTGCAGGATTGATTCCATTTCACTTATCTTCTGTTTTTCCAATTCCTGTATCCCATTCAGCATCTCTTTACCTTTGCCCTGCAAAAAGAAACTTAGTTCACTAAAAACTATACAGAGTATGTAGCGTTCAACCCAACAAGATTCTGGCTTACTGTCTTTATTTTAACCTCCTAGTAGTTTTTAGCGTACAACTTTGTGTTGGTAGAAGTTAGCACCATGACAGGTTTTCTTAGATATCTTTCCTCCTATCTAGCACTCCATGTCCTTACATCCTTATCTGATGGATTGAAAATAAACAAAATTAAAGCTGCTCTAGGTATTTATGCTAGTAAAACTTAAGCGAGCACATCTTATTTTTTAGAACATGTATCTTTAAATAGGGGAGATGCTACTGTTACAAGTAAGCAACTACCTCCCTGCTTCACCTTCGTGTCCAGCTGTCTGTCTTTGCAATCTTACTTCCTTTCCTGTCCATACCAAGCAATGACAAAGGGCATGCCCTCCGTACTGCCTAAGGCCAGGCTCCTGAAGAGTGTTTTGTACTCTTACCAAGGGATGTATATTTGCTTGCGGCTGCTCAAGCGTTTCCCTCTTACCTGAGGAGTGCAGGAGCATGTGTGTGTGGCCTGCTGCTTCGTGGGGCGAGCAGCACAGGTCCTTGTCTGGGGCTACAGCAAAGTCCTAGTTGCAATTTTTAGTGTTGGAAACATGTGCCTGCCAGATGCAAGATGATGGGCTTCTGGTGCACTACAATGTTCTTCACAACCCATCAAAGGGCATTAAATGGTATCACGTTAACAACATGTGAGCAAGGAACTTATATAAACCACCTGCTTGCATTGAAATCTAATTTCATCAACGTACCTCCATAGTTTCCATAACTACAGCAGCACTTTCATGTTTTTTATAGAGCTCATGTCTTCGATCTGGCTTACTCTGAAAACGTGGTTGCTTCTTAACTGGATCATCGTGCCCAAATGTAGGGGAGCTAGTTTTTGATAACTGAGTCATATTGGGTGCAAAAATGAAAGGCTTAAATACAGACCTAGAAAGAGAAAATAGAACAGAGATCCTTTACTGATACAGGTTTCTTAAAATTGTTGTGTCAGTACGTTGTTGTATTTTCCCCCATTCTTCTAATTCCTTATTTTAAGAAAGAATCTTTTTAAAAAAAAAAACAAAACAAAAGTAAAAAAAAAAAAAAACCACAAAAAAACCCAAAGAAACAAAACTAAAAACCAAACCAAAACAAAAAAGCCCCACAACCCCTCCTAATGATGTTTAATTGAGTGTCATAGTAGTGTTTCACTAGGTAGGTTGGTAGATGGCATTAATGTACATTATGAGCCTCCTACTTTATGATTATGTTTTTTCAAGGGGGGGAAAAAACAACAAAACAAAAAGGAATATAATCAGATAAATTGCAACACTTTTCTTTTAGATATTTGCAACTTTTTATCCTAATTCCCTGCTGCTACATCACCTCGCAGGATCTGGAGTTCCAGTGAAGTAGTGAATACATGGGAGATCCGGCTGCTGAGGCAATACAGACACCATGCTTCCAGTTGTCATAAATCCACCTTCCATGTTAATGCCACTCTCTTTGTCACGAAGAATTTCCATCATTATTTCAGAAGTGATAGATCCTATTTAAAATACAATACAATTACTAGCACGCAGTGCTACTTATAATACTGTCTAAATGGCATGTTCTCTAAAACTGGGTGCTTTTCCTGTAAAAGGCAATGCCAATTTTACTTTGTCCATGTTGGCAGAAAAAAAAAAAATCATCCTAACACTATACCTTAGCATGTAACACACTTAAAAATATTATTGTTTTCCCCAAAGTATTTATTTCAAAGAATATGTGATAATGAGCTGTAACATTTATGACTTAGAAAAGGGGGAGGACGACAACACATGATGTTTCCCAGAGAGGTAAAATACATATGGCTAGCAAATGGTTGTTCACACAGTAACTTTTCAAATGAAAATTAGTAGCTTGGATTAAAGGCTGAACTTTCAGAGCACTTTGTGGAAGTTAAGATAAATCACCATAATAGTTATTGGTATTTGTATACAGTTAATACCACTAGATTTCTTTGGAAATGTAAAAATAATAACAACTATGCATGGATTTTATGTGTAAATTTGAAAATGAAGTGCCCAGACTGTTGTTTTTGGTGGGTTTTTTTGAAGAATCTGACCTTTCAAAGCACTTAGGCTTCAAGTTGACAATTGAAAGGATGCACCAGCATAACAACTTGTTCTATGCTCAGAATCAACAGAAGCTATGATAGTACATCCATTTGTAAAGAAGTCTTAACCAACTACCTATATGAGGTATAGTGCCAAATGTCTCTATGAAAATAACTCTTTTTTTTCTCACTTAGATCAAACAAAACCCTTCCCACGTATGCCTCTGCATCCAGTGTTCAACTGCTATTGCTGTTCATGTAGTGTACCCTAAAGCTTAAATACTGGCATGGCAATGCTTAAGCTTAAATACTAGGCAATCCAATAGTCTAACAGGCAGCACTTGCAGTGGTTTTCTTTCAAATTTGGTGTACTGGTTAAACATATGCCCATGGCAGAAAAACATTAGTTCATTCACGGTTTGGTTGTTTGGTTTTTTCAACTTGAAGGTATCTTCCACCATTTAATCCTTTAGTGTTTCCGTCAGTGAAGTTCTAGGTGCATAAAGATTCTTTTTTTAAATGACCCTGCTGTTTCCTCTTAAAATAATCACTCTGCTGCTAGTTCAGATGTTTCCAATATTTTTTTTATATATATACAATTCAAATTGCACGTAGCCAGGCATGCAGCACTACATCCTACAGTTGCCTGGGAAAGTCAGAGAATTCAAGAAATGAGCAAGCTAGATGAATAAAAGAAATTAAAAGAAGCAACAGTCAGTTTGCCAACTGCAAGTTGACAACTTGTCCAGCAGGAAAGAAGGCATTGCATATTTTCTACTAGACCTTTTCATTCTTTTGTATTCCTCAAATACATTCCCTGGTTTTTGAAATACAAATAATGTTTATCTAAAAATGGTCTTCACGTGGTAGGCAGCCTGGAAAAAAACAACTGTAATGCCACTGAGAGAACTAAGTGTGAAGGGTAGATTAAGAAACCAGTGATTTTACTGATGCTGTAAACCAAATAGCTTTTAGTTAGGGCACCTATTTAAAATAAGTGTAAATAAACTGAAACCATATGAGGCTGATAACCTGAACACCTAGTGTGATTTTTAAAATGGCTCAGGTAAATGCCTGAAAATGGGGATTTAGAATGAAAACATTGATAGAATCTCAGCATTGTTATAATACAAGTAAATACAGGTATTATGAAAATGCTTTCGTTATTCAGAACCTGCAATTCCCAAAATGAATGCAGGATTTACATGATCACTAGAGCAGGATAGCAAAAAGTAGTTCATTCTGACACACTAAGTAGATGCTAAACCCAGTCTGGCAGAGCTCAGCCAAATAAAAAACCACAGAGGTGCAATGTAATTTTGGTCCAGATTAATTACTTCAAATGAGCAAGTGAATAGAGATGCAGCAAAAACCTGCCAGGTGGATGCAGTTAGAAGAGAAGTGATAGCTTCTTTCTATAGAGGTCTGAAAAATAAGTGAATAAGTTAACGATTAGGAGCACCTGCCTAGAGTACAGAAAATCATTTTATTCTGCTCTCAGTGTGTTTTATTAGACTGCGCAAGGTTAGAGTAGCAGTTATACTGAAACTACACAGATTTAAAAACCAATCTCAAAAAAGAAATGCAAGATACATATTTGAATGCTGGGCTGTTGTCTTAAGCCTGTAGGAATGGTACCAGAGTGAAGTTGTTCATAAGGTTCTGTTTGTGGCTACAAACCACTGGGAGTCTGGTTTAGCCTCTGGGTTTCTTTTGTTTCTTTTTCTTAGAGATACAGTAATAATATATAGCCTACCAAAATGTTGCAGAGTTAGGTCTTATGGAGTATCTAGTGGTATGTTCATAATGTGATCCCTGAGTGTTGTTACTGTAGCTCTCTGTGTTTGATGTTTGACCCTTGTTTTAATTTTTCCTAATCAACAAATTGGCAAAAATGGATAGAAGACTTCAAGTTCAGCATTCCTCCTTTATGCAAAAAGTTATTCTAGTAAATTCTGGTTCACCAAATCATGTGAATGATTGCCCACAACAGATGTCTAATAATTTATGATTTAAATTAATGTAGCTCACTAAATGCTTTGCATATCTTAAAAAATAAATAAATAAATATATATATATATATATATATATAAAAAAAAATGATACCTTTGTGTTTGTTCAGAAGTTTATAGCCTTCACAGTATCGGCCTCTGGATGTGGTCATTCTGGCAGTATTTACATAAGAATATGTGGCAGCAAAATCAAATTCCTTTTCCCCGTCCCACCAGCCCTTGCTTTTGGCATATTCCTTCAGCTCTGGGTGTTCTCTGTCAATCTTGGTTGTGATAGAGAGCTGGTTGGAAATATTCCGTACACCTCCTGTTTGTAAGGTGAGGAAAGAATTATTTTTATACGTTAAATGCTTATTTTTCATATTTTGTTTACAATTAGCTTATTAAAGCAAATTATGCACTGAAGAGTTTCCTACAAGACCTGTGAGTCCCATGGTTTATTTTTGTCCCTCTCTCCCTGGCTATATGTATCCTTCTGATTGAAATTTCACTGCCACTCAGCTCTAACTTATTTACTTTTATTGCCAACATCATATTCCAGGTTCTGTCCTGACTATTCCCATCTTTACATTCTTCCTCTTAGACCTCCAAAGACATAATCTGTCCTTCTAACCACTGGAAGAATCAGCCACTTCAGGGCCCAAGGCACTGATCCTGTCAGTGCTACCCTGCCACCAAGTGAAATTGCCATTGATTGCCACTGTCCTTACGACCATACGTACTGCTGTCATGCTCATGCTGACCTTCTGGCTCTCCTCTGTTTGCGAGTGCAGACGTGGTCATCTCTGAGTCTGAAAAGGCCCCCTGTGACTTAGCTCCCCTGTGAAACTGCTAGCCACTCCACACTGATGCCCTAGGAAGCAACTCCGCTACATATCTAGAGGCTATTTGATGCCTTAATGAAACAGTAAATGAAAGCATAAAACTGCTAATTGTCATTGCCATACCTTCTACTTTTTCTGCTGCCCAGTATTTTCCTGATGTCTCCAGCACCCATGCTTCCTTTCTGTCAGCTATCAGAAAACTGTTATGGTACGTAAATGCCATCTGGCTCTCCATACAGTTTCCTCCCTGTCCATATTTTTCTAGCAAATCAACTATGACGGTAACAGCCTTTTCAGCTGTGTCTGCTCTCTCGAGTCCAAGCCTAAAACAAAAGGAAGATGTTACCTTTGGAATTATAAACTTTACATACATACAGTCAGCCTGGGGGACTCACGCTGAAGTGCTCTTTCTATCTGCACCTGATGCTGGTGCGATCTGCTAAGAGAAAGGAGCGAGTCACTGATAGGGCTTGTTTGGAGTGGGTCCTCTGTGTCCTTGACACGGGGGAAAACAACCAAATGGAAATACAGAAGGGCAGGGAGAGGACTCCGAGGAGATGTCTGTCAGTCCCAACTGGGTACTGGGCTGGGGGGAAACAGTACAGAGAAGAAGTGAGTGCCTTCGGTAGGGTAATGAGTTACTGGCACCGGTGGGGCAGGCACAGGAAGCTGACATCACTTACGTGGAGGTGGGCAGCTAAGGCTGAAACTTCACAATATGTGTGTGAAAAAGGGGGGAAATAGGAAATGAGAACAACCCCAATGGAAAGGCCCAAACACTAGATCCTGGAGTCTGGCTGTGCTCTGTTAGGAGTCGTGTTTCAGTTCACAGTCAGCTTTGTGGAGAGGAGCACATTTGACGATTTCCTTGACGGATTCTGTTCTAGCACCTGATACCTCCCGTGGGCTCCCAACTCCTGGCAGAGATCTTACTCCTGTGCCAAAAAATACTTATTTTTATACATGGCTAGAAGAGGGGACGAGACAGACGTGCCTTCTGCAAGTCACATCACACACTTCCCCACAGAACTCAAAAGCGAACGCCTGTAAACCCGCTGGCCGGTTCCGCGCCGCCGACCCCCACCGCCCCGCCAAACCTGACGAGGTCCATGCCGAGGAGCGCCTCGCCGTCGCCCACCTCCTCTCTGCCCCACACGGCTTCGTTCCCGATGCAGAGGCCGTGCTCGTTGGCGCCCATCTCGGCGCCCCACAGCCAGGCGGGCCGGCTCAGCACCACGGCGTGCGTCCGCTCTGCCTGGCCGATCCTCATGTAGGTGCACTGCAACGACCCACACGGCCCACACAACACAGTTACCTTTGGCCGCCGCCGGTTTAAAAATACCCAGAAAATAGGATTAAAGGGTTGGGTGTTTGGGGTTTGGTTGGTTGGTTGGTTGGTTTTTAACTCGCCTCCAGCTCGGCGCCGGGCGGGTGGACGGCGGCCGGGAAATCCCCCCCCTCCTGCCCCCCCCCCGCCGGCCGGTCCGAGTTCTTCCCGAAGACGACGCGACCCCCCGCCGCGGCGGGCGGCAGCGCCACGAAGGTATCGCAGGAGCTGGGGGGCGGCTGGGGCGACATAGTGGCGGCGGTGGCGGCGGCTCCTCCGGGCCCGGTGGCGGCGGCGGCGGGGCGGGGCTGAGCGGCGGGCGGTTCCTCGGCCCGCAGGAAGGCCCGCCCGCCGACCCGGAAGGCCCGGCGCAGGCAGCCGGCTAGAGGGGTCCCTCAGCGGTGCCGGGAGCGTCGGCGGCTCCCTCCCCGCCGCCACCATGGGGAAGTCCTTCGCTAACTTCATGTGCAAGAAGGATTTTCATCCCGCCTCCAAGTCCAACATCAAAAAGGTGAGGAGGAGGGAGGGGGCCCTGTGGGGAGCCGGCGGTCGGGGCTGAGGCGCCCACCCTCGAGCCGCCCGGCCGGTCAGGCCGCGTCCGCCGCGCACCGGGGGCGTCCCGGAGTGGGCTGGGACGGGGCTGGTGAGGGGCTCCCGGCACCGCAACGGCGTGTGTAGGGCACGTCCCCCGTCCTGTGGTGGGACCGGGGCAGGGGCGAGGTGCGGGGGGAGCGGAGGAGGCAGGGAAGAAAGTTAGGAAATACTCTGGAAGCTGTGAGGTTTGGTTGCTCGTAGGTGTGTGTGTAACCACCGCCTTTTCCTGGCGCCGGCTTCTCAACAGCTGGTTCTCTGGATAAATGTTTGCCTGTCGTGGTGTTTCCCCGATGTTCCACACCTGGTGCCAGGCCTCTCCTCCCCACAGCCCTGCCAGCCCGGCAGCTCCCCGGGGGCGGTGGGATTTGGGGCCTGGTGAGAGCTGGGTGAGGAGGTGTCCCGGCGAGGAAGGCAGTGGCACACCGGGGTGTCTTCTGACCCTTCTTCACCCTTTGCATTACTAAGCTTTCCTCTGGCTCTTCAGATCTTAAACGTTGTTGGAATTGTAGCGTGTCAAAATTACTGCTTGTGTGAAGTTCATTTGTTGAAGTGATGGATTAAAAGAATATATTTCATGTCATTAGAATGGGAATTTTCCCTTATTTGCTATTTTCAATAGCTTAAATCACTTAAGTACTTACACGTTAATACGTTTTGCAGTGTTTTTTGTGTTTGTTTAAAGTAGAATCTTACTGGTTTTAACTAGGTATGGATGGCGGAACAGAAAATATCATACGATAAGAAGAAACAAGAGGAATTAATGCAACAGTATCTTAAAGAACAGGAGTCCTACGATAATAGGTGAGAACTGGCATAAGATCACACACTTCTTCCTGCTGTCTCTTGTTCTTGTGGCAGCGATGGACACCTCATTGTGAGTCCTTTGAAATGCTGTCTCCCACTAACCATTGTAGAAGGAGAGGACAGTGACTCAGTGCCGTCTGATTAAGCAGAGGTCAAAATAACTTCTTTAAAATGGCCCATGCGTGTCCTGTAATTAATTTCAAAATGCGTTACGTGGCACAGAACAGCAGGTAACCTTGCATAGCAGTATATTTGGATCACACAGAAATCTGTCCTGTGTAATTCTGTGGACACAGAATTATGTTTCAGTTGTGAGTGAATTATATGACAATGGAGCACTCAAAAGTATTGACTGGTCTCTCAGATTGTTTGATATTCAGCTTCCAGTTATCAAGAAATCAAAAAGTGCCAGTTATTATCACAATTTCCTGCTACACGTTTCTTTTTCTTTTTTTTTTTTTCTTTTAATAAGCAATACCAAAAGGAATGTTTTGTATGTAACACTCCAAACTCTGTCCTTCTTGTTTAGGTTGCTTATGGGAGATGAGCGTGTGAAGAATGGTCTTAATTTCATGTATGAGGCCCCACCTGGCGCAAAGAAAGGTATTCTGGTTTCCTGATCATGAGCAGATAGGAATGCAAAGCTAAAAACCCTCTGAAGAAATAAGCACAGTGTCTTTTATTTTAAAATAATGTGTTCACAGTGAGGTTATCCTAGAAGGTATGATTTTTAGTTCTACCTGTGCAAATATGCAGAGATTTATAGTATGCAATAATTTTGATCTCATGCTATTTTAATTTCTTTCCAAAGGAGAATGGTTGGGGTTGTTTGGTATTCTTAAACAACAGTTCAACGTGAAGGGAAAAACAGATAAAAGTTACTAAGTACCTGGTGGATATTTGCGTTAATCGCTTAATTTTAGCAAAATGCAAACTTAAGTGCAAAACTAAGAAAACATTTGAAACAAAACATGTTTCCTTTAAAATCCATCTTTCCCATTTGCACAAAACCCCTTGGAAATACTTGGATGGGCTCATTCTTATAGAGAAAATGTTGTAATTATTTAACTTTTAAAGCTCTTAAAGCTTAGAGCAAATGCAATTTTAGACTAGTAATTTTTGTGAAAAAAGATTTTTTTAGAGATTTTAGAATTAAGTATTGCTGCTACTTTTGGCAAAAAGAAACTTAAGGTTTTTTTATTCGTGTATCAAATTAATGTAGTTTGAAAGATGATTCCAGTTTCATAGGATTTGTAACCATTTACTAGAGGCTGATTGTTTTTATGTGCATTCTATTTAAATAAAGCTACTTTCTGAGTATTTGTACTGTTGTATTAGTATAGAGCATGAAATGTTTTGTCTCCAGCTTAGACACCAGCTGCATTTTACGTGTATAATTAATGTATCTTTTCTTTTCTTTTCATGATTTCTGAAAATTCAAAGAGGAAACTAAAGAGGTATTTCATTACATCATTTCATTATGTCTTCTTCCTACTTAAATGTGTTAAAAAAAATTTCAAACTTACCATATTTTCTGTTTTATAGCAAGAAGGAGAGACTGAATACAAATTTGAATGGCAAAAAGTCGCCCCTCGAGAAAAGTAAGATGTCTGGATTTTTTTCCAAATTTTTTTTTTTTTCTGTTTACCTTTCATATCCTTTTCTTTTTTTTTTTTTCTCTTTTATTTTTTTTTCCTATTTTGTTTTTGAGCAAGTCACTTGTGTAATCCTGTCACATCCTAGGAGTTAATTAGTAAAACCTTTAAACCTGGAGCTGTTTCCGTGATCAACTTAGGTTTTTTTTTTTAATTTTACATCCATATTTAAAGCACAGTAAAACTAATGTTTAGTTTTCAGAACTATAACTCCAAAATGGGTACACACTTAACAATAAAAGGAAGTTTTGTATATGATATTTTTTTAGAAAAATAGTGAATTGAGTATTTGTTTTCTTTTGTGTTTGTGTAACAGATATGCTAAGGATGACATGAATATCAGAGATCAGCCATTTGGTATCCAGGCAAGTTACATAAATTTCACTCTGTGGATGTCTTGGGTATATTTCAAATATTATCTAACTGCAGAACATTCACATGGACTCTTAATTTTATCATCTTTTTCTCAGTGAGTTTAAAAGCTTCTCTTATGCCTAATAACATAGATATTTCTCTAAATGTTAAGCTGTATTGTAGACTAAATTATGTGATTATTTTTTTTTTTCCCTTTTAGGTGCGAAATGTGAGATGTATTAAATGCCACAAATGGGGACATGTAAACACTGATCGAGAATGTCCCTTATTTGGCCTTTCTGGAATTAATGCGAGTTCAGTCACCAGCGATGGTTCAGGTAAGGCACTGAATGTCTTCTAAAGGTGCTGCTTAGATATTTTGGGGGAACTCACCATGTTTAATTTTAGAAGGTCTAAGTTTATAATTTCAAAGAGTTGATTAAATGGGGAAAACACTTCTTTATTCCAAATATAGGACCCACAATTTCATTTTAATTATTTCAAATGACAGGGACTTAATTTTCTATTTAGTAAGTATTTTGAAAAGATTCTGCAACGAATGTTGGTTTGATTCTATCTGTGGCAAAAATGCAGAAGCTGCAATGAAGCTGTTTATATCAGAGTGACAATATTTGTGCCACAGACTGTCCCAGCTCAGATTCAGGCAAACCGCTTGGAAAAGCTGGAATATGCCAGTATATCTTTGTTAATCACTGGAAAAAAAAATGAGAGGGTTTTGGTTTTATTTTTTTAGTGTGTGTAAGTGTGCTTCTGTAAGGGGAGAAGCAGTTGAAACCTAGATTTCCCAATGCCTGGTTTCCTGTCAGCTGGCTGCTTATTGCTTCTCAAGCTACAATTTTTTTTCTGTTTGTTAGCTTTCCTGTTACTTGAAGTCACACAGCATTTAGTGGTAGATGAGGTTTAAAGAAGCGGGTATAAACATTCAAATTGAATATTATTTTTTTTTTGCCTAAAAACCTTTGTTTTCTGCAACTTGACCCAAGTTTGTAACGCTCTTAAGGTTCTTGAAATTCTGGCATGTTAAAAAAATGCCTGGTACCATGGGTGAGTCTTCAGAGACTTGCTGTACTGTGCTTTAAGGTGTTGTATATTCAGTTTTGCAGGGATACCATTACAATTGCACACTTGATAACATCTTGCTTTCTTCTGTCTTTTTATGTAGTAGCTCTTAGTTTTATTATGTGTTCAGCCTACCAACAATCTTGCTTTTCAGAATTAGATCACTTGGGTTTGTCATTTCTTTGAGATGAGGCCTGGAAGTTAAAGGAAATAGTGCCTCTTACACTCCCCTGCTTTTAGGCACTGTCTGATGATTATACCATTGTATTAGCTGTCCTACAGTTGACATTCTCAGCCTTTCTGTTCAGTAGGTTATAACATTAAATCATTTTCTTGCCTCATTCTTACCTTAGAAGAAATAGTGCTTGAGCGTTTGGTGGTGGTGGAATTACATTGTGCAGCTCTTATGTGTTAGATACGCTTTTGTGCTGCAGAACTCCCTTCCACACACCCCCGCCCTGGTTCAAATGATGTGGGTAAATTTTAGGAGTGTTTGGCTGGGAAAGCAGAAAGTATTTGTACGTCCTCACACAAATTTGAAAATAGACTCCTTATTATTTGTAACCATGTAATATGGACGCTTTGCAGTGTCAATATAAGACTGCCTGTTCCAAACCTAACTGAACTAAGTATCTAGGTGTAGGCAGTGTTTGACTGCTGTAGGTGTTCCCTAGTCAGAGAGGTGTTCTCCGGGTAGCTTTCCAAACCGTCTTTCTGAGCCTAAAGAAAGAGATTTAGCACATACTGTGAACTTTGCACGAAGGAAAACGCTGTAAAACTACTTAATGTTCTCAGAGCGTGCCAATGCTCTCTCATTTTCAGCT